GAGCCACGGAGCAGTATGTAAAAGACATACAGGTGAGAAAATTTGGTGATTATATATATATATATATATATCAGTAGCCCCTGAGACTTGAAACAGTTAGAATAACTGATTTAAGGATCATTTGTTATGCAAGTTCTTACCGAAAAGAATACTCAACTGTCCCAGGAGCTGGAAGAGTGCAGAGCCCAACTTCAGGCCGCACTGGCCGCGGCGGGGAGCCTAAAGAGACCCCCTCTGGTAATATATCCTTCGAATGATAAGTGTCATATAGGATGCGTCATATGCAGATCTGATGATAAAATTGCAGATGACACTGGAGTAAATCCGGATAAGCAACAGCTCCTACGCCAGTTGAAGGCCGGTGAGAGCGTGCTTACAAGGGTGAGGCAGGAGAAGAATGATCTCCTAGATGCCAACACCAAGCTGGGCGTGGAACTAAAAGATGTTTGTGCCCAACTGTCGGACTCTGTTAAGGAGAATCGGCGGCTTTGATGCGGCATATTTAGTAAGTGCTTGAACGAACTTTGAAAAAGAGTTCGGCGAGGAAGCTGGCTGACAGAGTTATGTCTGTAGGTATGCTAATAGGTCATCCTGCCGAGGAAATGCCCGGTTCAACGGGTGACCTTCTTCCCGAGCTCTCACAGCTGCACGAACGAGTTCGGCAGGTGATGCAAGGCGTCGCCCAGACCTTGTGGCCATCCGTCTCCATACCCGAAGGCCTTGGAGAGCTTGCAGAAAAGCTGAAGGGAGCACGGCGGCGCTTCCGATTATGGAAGATATGGGCCTGCCGTCAGGGCGCCAGGGAAGCCTGGGCAATGGTGAAGACACAGTACACGAAGGCTGGCCCGAACCACATGGCCGAAGTCAGATCTGTGGGGCCCGATGGGAAGGAGATCCCTGTGAGCTTAGTGTACGGCCAAGTAGAATTGGCCGCAAAGTATTCCCAACAGGACTGTAGACTAGACAGCCTATTGGATGGTATTGAAGAGGAATTCAACCAGTCAAATTGACTATGTAATTTAAAGTGACATGTATAATGCCTTCTAGCCGGATTGTAGATCGTTTGTCATGGCGGACCTTTTCGCTTCAACCTCGGGACCCGACGGTCCGAAGTGTATCCGAATACCCTTTCGGTTATGTAAGAACCGGGGCATGCGCGGAGACCAGGCGTAGGGGTCATTAGTGCTTTATCAGACAAGTGCCCAACTAGTTATGTTATATTACATGGGTAGTAAGAAACACCTTCCAGGGAGAATAGTTCCGTTAAGGGTTCCTTTCCCTAGGAAGCATGCCCTAAAGTGCATGTCCGAACTGCGATAAGAAGCACAGAAAAAGCATCTGGAGGCAGATACGGATAATAAATAAAAGTCATTTTTTGTTCACCGACCGAATATTTTCTTAAGAACGCTAGCTTTCGGCTTCACTCAGTCTGAGGTACACATCCGGCTGACCTAGTGGTAACAATCACAGAGGTGCTCCCCTTATGCCCTAGCCGAATTAACAGGAACATAGGGCATAAATACAAGAGCCAGGCAACCCAGCTTGGCCAAAACTTAAGTCATATCGATGCATATAATGGTGAAAAAAGGTACATGCAGAAGTATAACACATGTGTTGGGCGTGAGGGCCAGGTAAATAATTTAAGCTTCTGTGAAAGAAGCCCCCAGGGATGGAGAGTGCGGCTAGCGCATCTGTAATGTACAAGTGAGGCACAAGGTGACCCTTGAAGGCCTAGAGAAATAATAATAAAAAGAAAGAAATGGAAACAAGACAGATGATGCATATGCAGAAAATGGACAAAGGGAGGGGACTAACATAGAGTCCGGTGATAGGCATAGAATCTTCGAAGCCTAGCTGCGTTCCATGGGTTCGGCTCGAGTCGACTAGTCGATGCATCCCGCAGTCGGTAAGCTCCACCAGTCAGAACTTGGTCGATAATGAAGGGACCTTCCAATTTGAGCTCGAGCTTGTTCTTTTTCTTATCCGGCAGTCGTAGAACTAGTTTGCCAACGTCATAAGTTTTGGTCCGTACTTCTCTGCTTTGATATCTGTGAGCCTGTTGCTGGTAAAATGCGGAACGGGTTTTGGCTACGTCGCGCTCTTCCTCCAAGGTGTCCAGATTGTCCTGTCGATCGAGCTCGGCTTCTCTTTCTTCGTACATGCGCACTCGAGGTGAGTCATGAATTATGTCACAGGGCAAGACTGCCTCTGCGCCATACACCATAAAAACGGTGTATATCCGGTACTACGATTCGACGTGGTCCGCAGCCCCCAGAGTACGGAGTCGAGCTCCTCTACCCAGTGCGTGTCAGACTCCGTTAAGGAACGCACTAATTTGGGTTTAATGCCGCTCATTATAAGATCGTTTGCTCGTTTGACTTGACCGTTGATTTGTGGGTGATAGACTGAAGCATAATCGAGCTTGATGCCCATTTTGCTGCACTAGAGTTTTACCTCGTCGGCAGTGAAGTTCGTGCCGTTATCAGTGATGATGCTGTGGGGGACGCCGTAACAGTGTACAACCCCGGATATGAAATCTATCACCGGTCCGGATTCGGCTGTTTTAACCGGTTTAGCATCTATCCATTTCGTGAATTTATCCACCATGACCAATAAATATTTTTTCTTGTGGGTTCCCCCTTTAAGGGGTCCAACCATGCCAAGCCCCCAGACCGCGAAGGGCCATGTAATGGGGATTGTTTGGAGGCGGTGGGTGGCATGTGGCTTTGATTTGCGAAGAGCTGGCAACCGGCGCAATGTTGGACCAAGTCCTGTGCATCTGCCTGGACCGTTGGACAATAGAATCCTGTACGGAAGGCCTTGCTTACAAGAGCCCGGGCTGCGGCGTGATGACCACCGAGTCCGGCGTGAATTTCTGCCAAAAGGTTCTGCCCTTCCTCTTCGGAGATGCACCTTTGAAGGACTCCGGTAGTGCTTTTTCTTGTACAATTCTCCCTCATGGACCCTGTAGGCCTTGGATCGCCGCACTATGCAGCGTGCCTCATTTTGGTCTTCCGGAAGTTCCTGTCTAGTTAGGTAGGCCAAGAATGGTTCTGCCCACGGGGCAATAATGGCCATTATTTTGTGGGCTGAATGTGTTATTTCTATGGCGGAGCCTCCGATTGTGTCAGAGAGTTCAGTATCGTGAATTTTGGCCGGGTCCGGACTGTTGTTACCGGTGTCCCCTTCCCATGCAACGGATGGCTTGAAGAGACTTTCCAGAAATATGTTGGGAGGGACCGCGTCGCGTTTTGCGCCGATGCGGGCGAGGATATCCGCCGCCTGATTGTTTTCCCGAGCCACATGGTGAAATTCGAGCCCCTCGAACCGAGCTGACATTTTAGGACGGCATTGCGATAAGCTGTCATTTTCGGATCCTTGGCATCGAAGTCTCCATTTATTTGGGATATCGCAAGGTTCGAATCCCCGCGCACCTCTAGGCGTTGAATGCCCATGGATACTGCCATCCGGAGACCATGTAGAAGGGCCTCATATTCGGCTGCGTTGTTCGAGTCCGTATACATTATCTGTAGTACGTATTGAACTGTATCTCCTGTTGGGGACATTAAAACGACGCCAGCCCCCAGAGCAGCCAACATTTTGGAGCCGTCGAAGTGCATGATCCAGCTTGAATATGTGCCGTACTCCTTAGGGAGTTCGGCTTCCGTCCACTCGGCGACGAAGTCAGCCAAAACTTGCGACTTAATAGCTCGCCGTGGCTTGTAAGTTATGTCGAACGTGAGGAGCTCAATGGCCCATTTGGCAATCCGGCCAGTCGCGTCGCGGTTGTTTATAATATCGTTAAGTGGTACTTCTGAGGCTACCGTTATCGAACACTCTTGAAAGTAGTGTCGCAGCTTCCGGGATGCCATAAATATCGCGTACGCTATCTTTTGATAATGCGGGTACCGTGATTTGCATGGAGTAAGGACAGTGAACACATAGTAAACCGGCTTTTGAAGGGGGGATTTGTGTCCGTCCACTTCTCGCTCGACGACGAGCACTGCATTTACTACTTGATGAGTTGCCGCAATGTATAATAGCATTGGTTCGCCAATGTTTGGCGCAATCAGGACTGGGTTTGTTGCCAATATGGCTTTTATTTCGTTGAGTCCGGCCGTGGCGGCATCCATCCACTCGAAGTGTTCGGTGCGCCGGAGGAGGCGATAAAGGGGTAATGTCTTTTCTCCCAAGTGGGAGATAAAGCGGCTTAGAGCTGCCACGCATCCGGTCAATTTTTATATTTGCTTGAGGTCTGTTGGAGAGCCAACTGTGACAACGCTCGGATTTTGGCCGGATTAGCTTCAATACCTTTACTGGAGACAATGAATCCCAGGAGTTTTCCGGCTGTTACACCGAAAACGCATTTTTTCGGATTGAGCTTGATGTCATATGTTCGGAGGTTATCGAATGTGAGCCTCAAGTCGTCTACTAGAGATTCGACATGCTTGGTTTTGACGACCACGTCATCTACGTATGCCTCCACTGTTTTGCCGATCTGGTTTGCCAGACATATACAAATCATGCGCTGATATGTTGCGCCGGCGTTTTTGAGCCCGAAGGGCATTGTGTTGAAGCAGAATGGGCCGTATGGTGTGATGAATGCCGTTGCGGCTTGGTCTGGCTCTGCCATTTTAATTTGATGGTAGCCGGAGTATGTGTCGAGAAAACATAATGAATCGTGTTCTGCGTTAGCGTCGATGATTTAATCGATGTGGTGGGGAGGGGAGAAGGGGGGAAGGGATCCTTTGGGCAGGCCTTGTTAAGGTCCTTAAAAGCATAGATACACATAGCCGATCTTGTGAAACGGACTACTAAGATTGTTTCGTTCATTTACACAATGTATAGTACAAGAGGCTCGAGAGTGAATCGTATATGTCGTCGTTAATCCTTCAAAATGACGGCAGGCAATCCAGTACTAACTCGGCAGCCAGCAAGCAAAGGCCGTGCGTTGCTAAGGTCGTAGTACGTACTCATAACACGGCCGGCAATAGGCATAGCTACCAGCTCTCTGCTGGCTCAAGGTAGTGCTGTAGCGACGTCACCTTCTTCTTGCTCCTGAGCTTGCGGAAGGCGGTCATCTCGATCTGCCGGATCCTCTCCCTGCTCACCCCCATCAGCTGCCCGATGTCGTGCAGGGTCCTCGCTTTGCCGTCGTCCATCCCGAACCTGTACCTGATCACCTCCCTCTCCCGAGGGGTCAGGCTGTCCAGCGCCTTGTCCACGTCTTTCTTCATGAACAATCTGTGCAGCGTCTCCTCCGCCGTCTCCGTGCTCTTGTCCGCCGTGATCTCCTGTGGTGGTGATGCACACCAGGTAAAGTGCAGGGATTTAGGTCCAGTAGCCACAAGTGCGATTATTGATGGAGGTGTGTGTTATTCAGAAAGACATTGGCGTTGCAGAGCGTAGTGAGCATACCTGGTATGTCACGTCCGTGCACCCGACTTTGCCAGTGAGGGATACGCTGTACCTTGGGAGGCACATTGCTGCTTCCACCCGTCTGGCTGTCATGCCGGTGTCCAACGCGATTTCTTCATTTGTCGGTAGCCTATTCAGCTGCCGGCGGAGTCGTCGCCGGCATTCTTTCACTCGGGAACTTGCTTCCGCCATGTGCGCCTATAAATCAAACAGCACCATTGGATTATATAGGGGCTCATACCAGCACCCACCGGGATCACATTGGTGTACAAAGAAAGATCCGGGTGCAACATTGGTCTGTTCTAATCATTGATTGATTCTCATAGTTATTCATTTTGTTCGTTTGGTTCCCGGTTACTACTTACTAGTCCCATAAAATCTACCCAATATACAAAGTGATGTAATTACCAAATGTGCTTACATCAACACCAAGAAATTAAGAGTGAAATTGTTGCAAGTGGTGAACCTACAAAGAGAAAGAGGACGTACTGGCAAGCGAATTATTTGGGTTTGTTCTAGAACCGACTTGCGTATTGCTTGCTTGATCCACCAGTGAGAATACGTAGAGAACCTAAAACCCTTTGAGGCATCAAACTTTTCAGCGCCCCTTATAAGGCCCTGAATCCCTTCCTGTATTAGACAGGGAATGAAGTGCGAGTCAAACATTTCATTTCCAAAGAATTATAATCATGAAGGGGCTTGAACGAAAGTACAGGAAAAATACCTGGATAAGATCGGAAAACTCTGTCCCAGGGCCTTCAAACTCTTTGGCAATTGAGATTACAAGTCGCACGTTAGATTTGACCATCATGTTCTTGCAGTAAATTCCATAGCTGAGACGTTTCCTCAAAGTGTTCTCATCAGTGCCAACTGCTGCTGCCCACTGACCGAAGGTTGGTTCACCGCCGTTGTAGTGTGCAACCTCCTTTTGGGTAGCCTCCAACTTCAGGAGATCCTGCGTCAGTTCATAATAAACTTAGTCAGACACCAGCAACAGGACAGCATTATTTGGTACAGCATGATAAAAATCACACATGTCCTTGTCATTGTGTTAGTCTTCGTTACCTGAATGCCCTCTGATAACTCAACTTCTTGCTTCGCTGTCAGAAGCTTCCGTCCGGACATCTTGTAAAAGCAGCCCAGAGAATTCCGGCAACCCTTGACCCTCTTCTTCCTCGAGGAGGCCGTGACGGGCCTCCGATCACTGAAAGATTTGGCAGCCTTCATCGCCGCCCTCACTCTCCGAGCTCTTCTCTCGGGCTGACGTGCCGACTTGACAGCCACGCCCCGGGCGCCCTGCTCGTCGTCGTCCGACTCGGATTCGTCGCTGAAGATGCTGACGAACCCCGCGTCGTCCAGCAAGCGGGCTTCGGCATACCGAGACCCCGGCCGCACCTCGGTGCGAAGGACCTCTCTTGTTAAGTAGCTGTCCTCCACCAGGTCATGGCTGTCGCCGACGTCTGGACGGTGGTCCGTTTGCACCATCCGGGCAACTTCTCGGGCGACCTCCGCGGCTGTTCGCGCTAAAGCCACGGCCTCCGCGGCCGCGGCCGTCACCACGGCCTCTTGGTTGAGAAGCGCCTCCCCGAAGCCCCCCTGGTTCCAATATCCAATGCAAGAAAGACACGAGGACAAACATATTTCAGCATAGCCCACTCCAAACCAATCTTATAATACAGTTCAGCACGGTCGCCGGAGCATGAGCGCCGAACACGTGAGCGGACATTACCGGGAGGCTGGTGCTATCCGAAGAGGGAGGAGGCCCGACGTCGACGGCTCCGCCGTAGGCCAGGCGCCTCGCTCCGGCGGCTAAGGACTCCATGCGCTCCGCCTCGACGACGGCCGCGGAGGACAGCGCGCACTGGACCCTCCCTGGCCGGCAGCTCCCGCCTGCCGCGCAGCCGCCGGCGCCGGGCTCCCTCGGCACCGCCGCTCGGGTGGAAGGGGGCCACTTGAACTGCGGCGCGAGGCACGACGACATCCCTAGCCAAGCGGCGAATGCGCGTCGTGTTCGCTAGCTAGCTAGCTCTTGTTGTGGATGGAGGTGATGCTGCCGGCTAGTGTGGTATGCATAGCGGGGCAGGGAGCGCGGTGAGGTGCGGCCGTACGGTCGGGGAGAAGCGGGAGGGTGGGCGCTCTTGGTCTGGAGGGTGAAGGGGATAAGAGAGGGTGGGGACAGGATCGTGCGGGAGAGGCGGCGGCCACCTCCGCGCGTACGCGCCGTGGGCCGGGAATGAGCGACGAGCCTCCGCGGCTCTGCCCCGGTCCGGTCAAGGAGACAAGCTCGGGATATTATTTCTGGTCCGACTACAGATGCGGCCCGTGCAAGAAATTGATATACGGAGTAAAAATAGCGAACGCTCACTCAGCTCCGCCACGCCATGTTTTCTTTTATCAGTTCAAGTTTCTTCTAAAAAAAAAACTCACCAAGCTTTTTATTCCAATGCAACATTCATAGGTAAAGCTGTTGGGTCATGAGGATTTTCCAACCACACATGTCTATCTAATTGTAGGTTACAAGAGAACTTGGCAAGTTTATGAGTCTCATAGTTATAGTTTCTACGCTCATGAATGAAATTACATAACTGAAAACTACTCTTACGACATATTATTTCATGTACTATAGCAGCATGGGGACCTCACGTCCCCTGTTGATGTCGTCAACCACTCCTTAGCTATCAGAAGCAACTGTGATATTATGCAAATTAAGATCTTCTGCAAGAGATAAACTTCCCTGCAAGCAAATGCCTCAAACATCATTGGGCCAGTCACTCCCTGGTACACCATCGTTGAGGACCCAAGGTATAGACCTTGATTGTCTCTATAAATAGCCGCGACTGCTCCTTCTCTTCTATAGCGAGCGACCGCGCCGTCAGCATTAATCTTCATATAGTCTTGAGGCGGAACAAGCCACCTTTCCTTAGTGGACCGAGGAGGTCGAACAACTGCTAATGGCGGCATGGTCGGCTTCTGTAACTGTTGTAACTCATGTAAGAAGGAATCCACAAAAGGTGATGGTTTGGACCGGGCTCTGGAATATAGCCTCGTGGATTGCTTTTCGCCGGACATACGAAACTGACCAGAGTGTTACTGAGGGAGTCCTGGGTTAGGGGGTCCTCAGACAGCCGGACTATATCCTTTGGTCGGACTGTTGGATTATGAAGATACAAGATTGAAAACTTCATCCCGTGTCCGGGTGGGACTCTTCTATGTGTGGAGGCAAGCTTGGCAATTCGGATATGTAGATCTCCTCCCTTGTAACCGACTCTGTGTAATCCTAGCCCCCTCCGGTGTCTATATAAACCGAAGGGTTTAGTCCGTAGGACAACAACAATCATAATCATAGGCTAGCTTCTAGGGTTTAGCCTCTACGATCTCGTGGTAGATCAACTCTTGTAATACTCATATTATCAAGATCAATCAAGCAGGAAGTAGGATATTACCTCCATCGAGAGTGCCCGAACCTGGGTAAACATTGTCTCCCCCGTCTCCTGTTACCATCCGCCTTAGACGGACAGTTCAGGACCCCCTACCCGAGATCCGCCGGTTTTGACACCGACATTGGTGCTTTCATTGAGAGTTCCACTATGCCACCACGATAAGGCTTGATGGCTCGTCTTGTTGTCAAGGACAACATTACCTCAGGGGGAGCCCTGGCTGTAGGCCAAACTCTCCGACTAGGCGGCTTCGTCATGACCGCCCGTTCGGCCGTCGTGCCGACGATGACTTCTCGGGTCATCAAAAACAGCCTCCACGTCGGCTCGGGATTCGACGAGCAGATGGATCCAATAGAGCTCTCTTCCTTGAACGAGCTCTTGGATCGCATCGCCGCCCTGGGAGTCGCAACAGACTATGATCGGATCGGGCTTAAACCCGACCAAAGGGATATTAACTCTCCGCCGGTCACCCATCAGATAGCGGTGGTGGAGGAGCAATGTAGCAATTCTTCCTCTATTTTGAGGACAAACTATGTCCGGATTCCTGAGCTCTCTGAGCCGGATACCCGTCCACGGGAGGACATGGCCCAAGCTTCGAACCTAGAATCAGACAGCGGGCCAAAACTATTGGGCAACATCCCGGAGTCTGAACTGGCAAGCTCGGAAACTCCTCCGCCCCTGGGTCTCAGATCGGGTCAGGGTTTGGACCTAAAACTACCCACCCACCCAGACTCAAGTGATCTTTCCCACATTAGACAAGAGCCCAAGAGACAGTACATCACTATTGGGTCAGATTCCTCCTTGCAATGAGCAACGTCAAGGACTGTCGCGAGGAAGACGCATTTTCATTCTTTTGCAAAAATTGCATGGACAAGGGAATCCTCAACGCCGTAAGTCGCCGTGACATAGCACACTTTGCTGACTTGGCGGCCATAGTACGGAAGTACTGTGCGATGGAAAGCGCCTGGAAAACCCAAATAAAATTCTGGGACCCTCCGGCTCTCACTAAACCCCTTGTCCGAACTAAAAGGGTGTACTCTCGTAAGTCACCCGATCCAATTACAAAGAAACAAAAGCCCACTACAGGGTGTAGAACTGTATTGGAGGGATGGCTCAATGGGCCATGCAAAATTCACAGTACAGCGGATACCATGTCAACACACAGCCATAGAGCATGTTGGATACTCTGGCAGGTGGCCAAGAGCGGCGAGGATATCCTCATCAACAATACAACAGAGCACCATCCCGGGGAAAATAAAAATATTGTCGTGGTTTTGTCACGGCAGATGTCCTCGTGAAAGGACTTAGTCGTGGAGCCATCGCTACGGGTTAGCTTAAAGGGGTTAAACCGTACAAGGGACACGAGGGTTTTTATACTAGTTCGGCCCCTTCGATGAAGGTAAAAGCCTACGTCTAGTTGTGTTGGTATTGCTAGGGTTTCGATGACCAGGGAGCGAATCCGCTTTGCCTGGCTCTCGAGTTGTTATCTGTTGTCCCTAAACCGTCGGGTCGTCCCTTTATATACATAGGTTGACGCCCGCCGGTTTACAGAGTCCCGAGACCGGATCATAAACGTGCCCGGCTCGGTCTCTATCCTTCCTATCTTACAATGCAAGTTACATAATAAGGTCGGTTTACATCTATATGCCTTAACTCGCCTTTGGGCCTTGGGCCTTCATAAAGCGCCATCATTCTTACGTCTTCATGGGCTTCTAATCTTCATAAAGTTAATCCGGCTACTCCTGGCCAGTTTACGTCCAGTAGTAATATCCCCAACATTAGGCCCCAGGTTGGTTTGAACTTGTTCATGTCAATCTTCAACACTTAGAAAAATTCCTCCTTTGCATCTTCACCTTAATCTTGTAAACCGCCGTGACGTCCTACTCCAGAATCAGGATAAACCGCCATGACGTCACTCTGTTACTTAAAAAATGATATATCTCACCTTCAGTTAATGAGCCTCCGACAATCAAGGCGACCGCTCCTGTTAGGTATCCAACATTCTGGCTCCTTGATTCTCACGCCTGTCACCCCCCTTTACCTTATAAATAGGGCCAAGGGTCATTTCCTTTTTTCCCTCTGTCTCTTCGCTTCTTCTTCCTCCTCGCCACGCCCCTGCACCCGAGCGCCGCCGCCATCGCCGAGCTCCGCCTCTGCATCTCCTTTGGCCGCTGCATCGACCTGATCGCACCAGAGAATCACGGCATATCTCCGTTGCTTCAACAGCCGCTGTAAGTCTTCCCCTTTCCTCCTCTGTAGATCTATCTAGGGTTTCAGTGTCCATCAAAGTTCATCGAAGCTCCGGCACTGTTCTTCCCTGTTCCTCTTCAGTCCATAGATGAAAGACCTTAAGCTTGATGTATTCCGTGTGGTAGCTATAGCATTCCTTGTCTTTGCTATCAAAACAAACCCTAATACGCATAAAAACTGATCTGGACCTTTTGCAAATCACTTCGGGACCAACCTTTTTAGGTCTAAATCTTTTTGCTTTCTTGACCTGTGGTAGATCCAAAATGCTAATGTGATCTTTGCGAAATCTGTTTTTCCTTACTTAGTCATTCTTGCCTTAGATCTGTACCTTCTATATCACATAGACGGTTTACCCTTGTATAGAGTAATCTATTATATACCATTAGTCCCCTTGTAAACCGGCAATCCCTTTATCTCCGTTGTCATACTCCGGTTTAATAGTATGTGTATACCTCTCTTTCTGCTTATTGCTTTGTCATTCATAATTGTATCAGCCTCCGGTTTTACCAATTTCACATACTTGGATTCCTTTATCCTGTTGTACCTTATGCATCACTATAAATGAATTGTAAACCGTCATTTCCTTCCAGCTTTTCACTTGCAATGGCCAAGCAGTTTTATTCCTGCAACTGGGCTCCCTCCCGGGTTACCGAGGAGCAACTGAATGGAACGGTCAAGATCGGAACCTTACCAAAGAAGAATGAGATCCGGTGGCGAGTTCCTGGACCGGAAAATCCTCCCACCCCTAAGCAGGGTGAGGTAGTGGTGTTTGTTGATCACATAGGCCGTGGTTTCAAACTGCCCGGATCAAAGTTTTTCCAGGATGTACTTGCCAGCTTTCAACTCCACCCTCAAGATATTGGACCCAACTCGGTATCCAATATATGCAACTTTCAAGTTTTCTGTGAAGTGTACCTACAAGAAGAGCCAACTATTGAGCTGTTCTGGGACTTCTTTCATCTGAACCAGCGCACTGAATTTGTAGACGGACCCAATACTGAACTTGGTGGCGTCTCTATTCAGAAAAGAAAAGAGGTTGAATTTCCTCACGCCAAGCTGCACAGTCACCCCAAAGAGTGGAATCAAACTTGGTTCTACTGTAAAGACACCTCCCCTGAAGATGAGAATCCTCTGCCGGGTTACCGTGCCCACCGGCTTGCCAATACTCATCCACTTCCACAACATCTAAGTGCCCAGGAACGGTCCCCATATGCACCTCAACTCGCCAAGCTGAGAGCCTTCTTGGCCAACGGTTTAACATGTGTATACTTTGTCCGTTGCTGGATATCCTGGA